GACATGTTTTGACATTAATTTATGAATTTATGAAATGTTTGATAGAACGATGATCTTTGAAATATTTTGACATTATGATTTGATTAATGTTTTGAATGATCTGTATAATATGTATTAAAAAATGCTTGATCTGATAAGGTGTGTGAACCTATACTTGTTGAGCTGTAGTTTACTCATTCTCTTTTTACTTTTTCTTTACAGATGAGTAAGTGATAAGTTTACTTAGTTTTATGAAAAGCTAGAAGATCAAATGAGAAAAATTACTTAGTCGTCAGAGTAATGTTGGCTAATGGGATCTTTTAAAATGGTTTTTATATTTTTATATAGTTTGTATTTGGATATATAGAGATGTATCATTAGTTAGATTAGAGATATAGATTTTACTTGGTAAATTATATCAGTTTATTGAAGAATTTTAGAATGATTAAGAAGAAGACTTCGTATTACTTTAGGATTTACTTCAAGGTAATATGATTTTGTTGCGTCTTGGTCTCGGGATGTGACAAATGTAGACCCTGAAAATCAAGCTCTGGTCATAAAAAATAGAAGTAGAAACATCGATAAAGGTCAGAATTCAAAAGGTCGTAGTAATTCTAAACATAAATCCAAGTCCAGAGATAAAATGAGGTATTTTTATTGTGGTAAAGTAGGTCATATAAAATAACACTGTAAAACCTTAAAGCAAGAACGAAAAGATGAGAAAAGTAAGAGTTTAGGTGATGACAATATTACAATAGTGAATTCAGATAGTGATTCGGTTACTTTAATTTGTACACATGATAATTATAATCATGTTGGTGATTCCGATATTGAATGGATAATTGACACAAAAAATGTCATATCATTATGTTTCTAAGAGAGAGTTATTTATAACTTACAAAATAGAAGACTTTGATTGCACCAAGATGAAAAATAAGAGTGTGTTACAGATTATTAGGATTGGTGATATTGTTGTACAAATTAATATAGGTTGCATGTTGACTTTGGGATATGTCAAACACATTCTGGATATGAAAATAAACTTGCTTACTATTAATGTCCTTAATAAAGAAAGATATGAGAGTCGACAAAAGAATGGATAGTAGAATCTTCTCAAAGAATCTATGATAGTTGCAATGAAAAAATTATGCTGCACAATATATAAGACATAAATACAATTGAACAACAATCAGATAAATGCCATTGAAGATTATGCTTCAACAAACTTGTGGCACAAAAGGTTGGCACACGTGAGTGAAAAGGGATTATAGGTTTTAGCAAGACAATCTCTCATTCCTTGACCAAAGGTATGTCTCTCGATTCATGTAATCATTATTTGTTTGGTAAGTATTGTAAAATTTTTTTCATAAGAGTTCTTAAAGAAAAAAATAGATTAGAATTAATTTATTATGATGTATGTGGTCCCATTAAAGTTGAGTCATTAAGTGGTAGCAGATATTTTGTTACTTTTATTGATGATGTTTCACGTAAGACTTGGGTGTATATGTTAAAAAATAAAACCAACTATTACAATATTTTTAAAAATTTTATGCCATGATGGAAAGGATGATAGGGTTACCCTTGAAGTGTATTTGAATTGATAATGATGGAGAATACACATCTAAAGACTTTGAAAAGTACTATTCAAAATATAAGTCGAGCATGAGATGACAAAACTTGGAACACTGCAACATAATAGTGTAACTGAAATGATGAACCGCACCATTATGGAAAAAGTTAGATGTATATTGAGGATAACAAAATTACTAAAGCCATTATGGGGTAAAGTAGTCAACACAACTTATTATTTACTTAACAAATCACCATCAATTCCTTTGGGTTTTGATATTCCAAAAAGAGTGTGGATAAGGATAGATTCTTCATACTCTCACTTGAAAGTTTTTGGATGTAAAGCATTTATGCATATGCTGAAAGAGCAGAGGTCAAAGCTTATAATAAAGCTACACAGTGTGTGTTTGTAAGATATGACGATGAGAAATTTAGCTACAATGTATGGGATCTAGTAAAGAAAAAAATAGTCAAAAGCAGAGATATGATCTTTCATGAAAAAAAAAGCCACAAATAGTGAAAATGAATGTGATATTTCAACACTAATAAGAATTTCATAAAAAAGAGCCACAAATAGTGAAAATGAGTTAAAAACAGAACTTGAGGATATAAATGAGTCAACCATGTTAATGATGAGCCATATACAATCAATTTTGAGTAAAAAAAGCAATTATCTCCATTAAAGAGTGTTGAGCAGAATGAGCTACATTCGATATCATGTGGTATAAAGTTTCAACCTAAAAGATCTACTAGAGAGCACAAATCATCTACTAGGTATCCAAGTTCAGATTTTATTTTAGTTACCAGTGAAAAAAAGTCAGAGAGCTTTCAAGATGTACAAACTACTTTAGATAAAGAGCACTGGTTAAAAGTACTGAAAGAAGATATTGAGTCATTATGAAAAAAATGGTACTTATAATCTTGTTAAACTTTTAAAAGGAAAGAAGCCATTGAAAAATAAATGGATGTTCAAGTTAAAAAATGATGTGATAAACTAGTGAGGTACAAAACTCGATTGATGGTGAAAAGTTTTTCTTAGAAACTAAACATTGATTTTGATGAGATTTTCTCTCTAGTTATGAATATAGGTTCCATCTGAATGGTACTAAAATTTACAGGTAGTTTGAATCTTGAGCTTGAGCAACTTGATGTCAAGATTACATTCTTGCATGGTGACTTACAAAAAAATATTTATATAAATCAACATAATGGTTTTGAAGTAAAAGGGAAAGAGCGCTTAGTTTGTAAACTAAAAAAAAAGCTTGTATGACTTAAAACAAGCTCTACGACAGTGGTACAAAAAGTTTGATTTTTTTATGGTGAACCACAGCTATAAAAGAATGGTAACAGATCCTTATGTGTATGTCAAAAAATTTTCTAATGATAACTTCATTATTCTCTTATTATATGTTGATGATATGTTGATTATGAGACAAGATACTGATATGATTTGTAGGTTAAAAGAATAATTGTCTAAGTCTTTTAACATAAAAGATTTAAGTCTAGTAAATCAGATTCTCGATATGGACATTATCCGAGATAAAAAAGCTAGAAAGCTATGATTGTCATAGGAAAAGTAGGTTGAATGGGTACTTAGTAGATTTAACATACAATATACTAAATTAGTTAGCAATCCACTTGCCAACCATTTTTATTTAAGTAAAAAATCTTGTCTAGTGTCTAAGAAATAGTAACTAGCTATGTCTAGTATTCCTTATTCTTCTACAATCGGTTCTATAATATATCTTATGGTTTGTACATGGCCTAATATTGCTCATGCAGTTAGTGTAGTGAACAAATTTCTTTCTAATCTAAGAAAGGTTGACTGAGAAATAGTAAAATAAATTTTCAAATATTTGAAGGGCACCTTAAAAATATGCTTGAGTTATGGAGTTTCACAACTAATTCTAGAAAGGTTTACTAATGCTGATATGACATGTGATCTTGATGGTAAAAAATCTACTTCAGGTATTTGTTCACTTTTACAGGAGGAGCTGTGTCTTGGTAGTCTAAGTTGTAAAAGTGTGTTGCTTTATCAACAACAAAGGTTGAATATATTCTAGCAACCGAAGCAAGTAAAGAAATGCTTTGGATGAAACGTTTTCTTTTTGAAGTAGGATTGAATAAGAAAAGAGTATGTGATATTTTGTGATAGCCAGAATACTTTAGATTTGAGTAAGAATACCATATACCAAGCTAGAATAAAGCACATTGATGTTTGATGTTACTGGTTACGTTCAGTGACTAAAGAACATCAAATGTTGTTGAAAAAAATTCATACTGATGAGAAGGTAGCAGATATGTTGACTAAGTACTTCTCAAGAAAAAGCTTGAGCTTTATAATAACTTGATCGAAATGAGTTCCTTGACTAAGGTAAGTTTCAAATGAAACTGCTATGGTGATGAATCTCCTCTTAATGGGGTTGGAGGGGGAGATTGTTAAGAAAATAAGGTCCAATCCCATGTAATTAATTTTGGACCAATTAAAGGCCATGGGCATTGGTCTTTCTTTTTACATAGAGCCCTAACTACTTAATGAAAAGAGGTGGGACTGTTTTAAGGTAGTGTTGCAAAACCAAGAAACGAAAGAAGAAAAGCTAGAAAAATAAAGAAAAAAGAGAGAAAGGAGAGTTGATTGAACGAAAGTTAATCTATGATCTGATTGAGTTGAAATTTTATCAGTAAGTTTATGATTCAGAGTTTTACATTTTAAATGATGAAGAATAGATTTGAAGCTCTCTAGGAATAAATCTAAGGTATATTTATTGAGTTATCTATTTGGTGAGATTTATCTAATTGTCTTTCTCTAATTGTTGATTAGCTTTAGTTTTAGTTAGAAAAAAATTTTGTATATTTATTATTTGATGGTAAAAATTTTTTTGTTAATTTGTAATTTTTCTTTTACACTGAAAATTTTTTTACTTAAATCTTGATATATTTTATTTTTTTTACATTATTAATTATTAATTATTATTTATTATTATAAATTTATTACAATATATTATTTTTACGTTATTTTATTTATTACTTTAAGTGCAGGAAAGGAATCCTTCTCCTTCTAATTGAATTTTCTGTCCCCTGTCTGTTTTTGTTTGCAAGATTTGTAACCATTGAGGGGACTTGTTGGATTGACGTTTGTCAGCTAACATGAATGCATCGCCATTTTTCTGATATCAATCACATCATAGTTTTTCACCTTAACATGGTAACTTTCTCAATTTATTTGGATAGACATGTGAGTAGAATCCATAAACATCAATCACAAGTAAAATTTATGAAATACAATCTAATTTATTCCATATTTCTGAATAGCTTTTGAAAATGCTAGTACAATTTACAGCTTCTAAAGCTAGGCCTAAGGGCCGTCTCACAATTTTGTTTTTTTTTTTTTTCAAATGAATTGAGGCCAAGAAAACATACACCCGTTACTAGAAAATCAACATTTAGGATAATGATCTATGATTATTCCACAAGCTCCAATCATTTTGGTGTCAACTCCAACAAAATTAATGCCCATTTGCTTTTAGGGGCTGATCATCGTCTTGACATCCCTTCTTGGAAAACAGCCATCCAATTATGGGGATTACTGACTTCCTTCTAACTTTCTTAACAGATGCTGGTCTTTCCAGCATTTCCTTTCTATTGACAATAACTTGAGCTAATGAAGGAGGGCTAGCAAATTTAACATATCTCTTCTTTTGGAACGCCTCTGGCTCTTCATTTTGTGTCATGATACCTATTTTGGTTGCATTTTCAATGAACTTGAAGTTTTCTACATCAGGCTCAAACCGCTGCTTCTGGAACTCTCTTGCCTTGAGCTGTTGCAGCTCTTTTTTTGTTTGTTCAAGCTCTTCTATCAGTGTTTTTATGCGATATGACATCAAGTTACCTTCCTCTTTGGCTTTTTGCAGGCTCTGCTTTGTTTCTTCTAGCTCCGCTGTTAGGGTTGTAATCTTGGACTGACCCTGCCCACTTTCTCCTGCTTGAGCTTTCACCTAACAGAGAAAATTAATCAGCCAACATTTTTCGCTTTATCACCAGCAATTTTGTGTTGTTAATAGAGTAATTAAAATTTGTTACTTTAGATTGTCGTTTTTTAAGTTTTCAGATGGTAAAATTACCGATAAATTGTATGTCCTATGTGTTAGATAATGTTATAGCGTAGTATATCCCAACAACTGCAAATCCTTCTTTTATCTAAAAAAATTAATAATCTGCATACCGCAGTAAAATTTGTTTAGACAACCATAGCACAAAAATATGAATTCAATTGTAAGTATAGCTAAAGAGACAACCTCTTTGAGCTTGTTGGCATAAATTTCTCCAACCAGAACTTTTTCTCCAAATAACATGACTGCCTCCTTAACAGACCTGAAGGGTGCTCTCGTATCAATCTCTGCCTGTCCAATGACAATGACGCTGCCTTCATCCCTCTCCATGGCTAGCACTTCCGAAAGCTGCGTCAAGTCCTGTGAGCAAGAGATAGATAGGAGGTGGGAAACTAGAGTGAGTTCTCAGGTGGTGACTAATATCTCCTTTTAATACAACACGAGGAGGATGAAAGTGAATGATAAAGAAAGGTCGTTAGCGATGGAGTGAGATATAATTAGGTTAACTTAGAGTAAGCTAATAAAATTATTATGATTGGGGTTAGTTTCTTCGCGTCCACTTCACTGGAATTTTGTTAATTGAAGTTGACAAGGGGTGGTTGGATCCTCCATCCATGTTTTTCTTTTTGTTGATTCGTTAGTTCTAATTTCTTATTACGACTTGGCTCCTTTCGTGGTGCAGCCACCTTAATTGGGCTCCTTTCGCCATTAATGGACCACAATTTATCTCTCATTCTTATTGCCATTATTATGGATACATGTAATCTCTTTTTCCAAGCGAAAAAGGGTATTCAAGTTTAGTTTAGTACTTTTGTAGCCGATTTAAATAAATTTATTTATATTGGATTTAATATCAGATTCAATAAATTTATAAAAAATTATTTTTTTATGATTTTTCAACGAATTTAAACTCGATACAGTCAAAAAAATAAACAAACTGTTCTACCACTTAAACCAATATATGTTCCATATATATATATATATATATATATATATATATATATATAACACGTTGAAGCTTTAATGTTACAAAAATCTTAACAAACCAAAAAACTCTAGCTCACAATATTTTTAAACTTATAAAACTCAAATTGATTCAAACATGATTAATTATATTCATAATACAAGCTTTTTAAAACATGGCTTTGGTTTGATTCCATCGTTTATAAAAAAAAAAAAAAAAAAGACAAAAGGGCATGACAATCAATTGTACAAACACATGCATATAACGATTAAAGGTTAAAAAGGTTTTAAAACATGAAAATTTTATACAAGTCTAAAACTTGAAATTAGTTAACATATTTTTTGAAAAAAAATAATATGATACTACCAAACTCTAGTATGATCTCATTTAAATCACTTTGGATTGTATTTTATCGATAATATAAAAAAAAAATAAGTTGCAAAACTTAAAAATGAATTACATAAAAAAGATATCTATATGAATATTAAAAATTTAAAATTTACATTAAAAACTTAAGATTTATACTTATGATTATGCTTTTCCTTCTCAACCTAAGAATCAATTGAAAAAAAGAATTGTTGCTTAAAAAATGGTTTTAAGACTTGTTTTTTCTTTTGGGCCAAAAGGTAGAACTTTGGGCACCCGTTTGTTTTGGGACCTGGGTGAAAAATCTTGGACTAGGTCCAAATGTTGAAGCCTGTCCATTGAGGTCGGACCCAAGAAAATGGATCCGAGGCGCCAGTAAAGAAAGATTAGGAGGTTATCATGTAATTTACAATCCGCGGACACAATTTTCAGCAGGTTCCCAAAGTTCTTAGGAATTCAAGCAGGCCATATTGGGACAAATTTCACCTGAAGCTGCCATAGATCTCCGCTTGCAAGCAATGCCAAGTGGCAATCATATGTGGGCTTTCAAAAAGCAATTTTCTTCAGCTAGCTCTGTCGAGTTCATGTCTTCCTTGCTATACACAAATGGGGCGAACGTAAAGTAAAAAAAAAAACTTTGAATCATTGATAGTGGGAAGGTAAAGGAAAAAAAAAAGAGAAAGAAAAGATCTTTGAATCATTTTAGTCACTTCTTTGGTGATATTACACGGTTCTGTTTTTCCGATGAAGTTAATGAACTTCACAATCAGATGAGAAAGTTACTTGTAAACGACAGAAAAAAAAAAAAAGAAAGCCCAGAAATGGGTGTCGTCAAGAAAGACAACCGAATCAGTCATCTTGCTCCTCCATAGGAAAGCGCAGATGCTTCCCTTTTGGTGTTGGCAAGCCCTTCAAGCGTATGATATCAAGGGAGACGCCATCTGAATCCTCATTCTCTGCACACTCTTCAATCTCATCATCACTGTTGTACACAAATCTCGTGTGCTTTCCTGTGAACATATCTTTCATGCATATCTTGCTTAAACCTTCGCAGAGCTCATCAACCAATCCTCCATCATAATCATCATCATCTTCTTCTTCTTCATAGTAGTCATTCCCCATTTCTTCAATTATTTCCTCATCTTCAACATGGGCGCTTGCATTAAGCTGGACAGACCAAATAGAGGCGTTGTCATCATCAGGAGATGTCTTCTCTTTGCATGCATTACTTTCTCCTGTTATCACTCCTTCATCAATCACCACAGAATTGCATTCTGATGAATCTAAGGATTCTGATTTCTGATCAGAAAAATCCAGTAGCAAAGATCTAGTTATAAGACTTTTCTGGGATTCAAGACTCACTTCTTGCTTCATTCCATCCAATATGCCACTCACCGCCTGTCATATACATCAAAGATTTGGTTAGAATATTAAGCATTTCAATCATATTAAGTTCCAACAACGGGCAGTATAAAGTAAAAAAGATCATGCAATGGAAAAAAAATCACAGTAAAAATTAACCTCAGAAATCTTTAACTGATCTTCAACAACAGGAAGAGCCATCACTATTGAACCCAATCCACTGTTGTTAATAGCTCCATCCTCAGAAAGATTTGAGACCTGGGGTGTATTTGCAGGAGTAGGAGCCAGAAGTCCCATTGGGGAATTCACACAGCCTTGAATATGAAGAAAAGGACGGCAAACTTTAAGCTGCTCAGCTTCTTCTTCAACCTTTAGCAAGAGAGTCTTGACTTGACCCCTTAACAAAGCTTCACCAGAACCAGGAGTCATCATCATGTTCTTGGCTCTCCTCTGCTTAGCTATAGCAGATGATGGTGTCTCCATTGCAAGCCCAACAATTGGTGAATCATTTGTTACATCAATAAGAACAGACCTTTCTTGTTGCTGTTTTCCATTTCTTGTTCTTGTTTTCGACACACTCTTCTCAGACTCTTTATTTTTTCCTTCTACAAGAAACCAAAACAAGGAATTAATTTTTTTTTAACATGGAGAAGATAAATAATAAAAACTAAAGGGAAAAAGAAAAGTGAAAAGAACTTACTGGAAACTGGGATACTGTTGTTCAAAGCAGCCAAAGTCTGTGACCTGGTGACTCTTCTAGCAGATGAAGGGGTCTCCATTCAAAATTTTTCAGGTAATCAAGAAAGTTTAACTTTTTTCTTAATCACTATGCAGGAAGATGCTCAAAACCTTGAAGAAGATAAAGCAATGAAGCAAATCAGAAAGGAAAGAAAAAAGAACGCTATAAAGGGCAAAGAGGAGATGGCCTTATATGGAGATTATGATTACGGGATTCAAAAGGTGATATAAAATTCGACCGTTAGAGCGTTTCCAGAAAAGAAAACTAGCCGTTGGACGATTGGATAAATTTTTTTTTCTTGTATTTTCGTCTTCTGGAAATTGGGCTGATTTGGTCTTTTTGAGATTGGGTTGAACCCATTTTATCCACTGCATGATTAGGGGGCTTATACTTCAAACCCATAATTGACCGGTTTAATGAGGCTGAGCCCATTCTTTTATCTTCTTTTTTTTTTTTTTTCTATCTTAGGCTACTACTGAAGTTCGAACTAAAGACCCTTAATTCTAATCCACCAAAAGAAAAAAAAAGACCCTTAATTCTGAAGCTGATTTCAATATTCCTCAGCTAATCATTAGTTTTCTTTATCTTTTGATAATTGGCCAATTGGGCATTTTTTTTATTATGATTATGGCTCATCGAAAACCGGTTGAACCTATTTTTATCTTCTAAAAAATTGGGCTAATTTTGTTTTGTGATAATTCGGTTGATATTCAAGCCTATTATTTACTTGATTCACTCAAACATGGGAGGCCTAACTTACCAAATACATGTTGGAGAAGGAATAATAGACCAAAAACTTGTACTATTTAAAGAGGCTTGACATCAAAAAGAAAAAAGAGAAAGAAACAAAATCCTCAAAACAAAAACTTTGGTTTCAAGAAGAAGATGTTGAAAGTTTGTAAGGAGTTTAGTTTGCAGTTACCTAATGTGAGAACCATGCCTACATTAGCCATAGCAATACCTAGTGTTGATGGTTTGGAAAGAAACTTGTTGCTGCCTGATCAAACTAATGGCATCAACCCTGCATCGGAAGAGGGTTTTCCTGTGGGTATCAGCAGGAGTGCTCAAAGAGATAATCAAGATGATGAGTACTCCAATGCTGGTTTGGAGAAAAGTTCCATCTTTGATTCGGTTAACTTGGTGAACAAGGCTGCAATTAATCATGATGAAAGTTACTCTTACGCTGTTTTTGATGAAAATCTGTTTCCTGATCAAATTTATCATGACTTCGTTATCCCTGCGTTGGAGAACCCTGATGATTTGCTTATTGGTCCACTTTGTGCTTCGATGAATGATCTGACTCTTGTTGATGATCATGAGTCACATAACCCCAAAATCGTTTATGACGCCTTAAATTTTGATGATGAATCCTGGATCGATATGTACCATAACAATCAAAACGTGCCTGCTAAACAAGCCTTCAAGGATGTTTCGACGGCTGGTTGTAACAACCAAGAGATTATTATGTCCTTAGACAATGAAGATTGGTATGAAGATTGGTATGTTATTCAAGACTTTGACTATGAGGCTGATTGGGACGATGAATGGATTATCGTAGAAGAAGACTTGTGGTTTACATTTTACAGTCTGTGGAGAATATTAGCTACATTATAAATGTAAATTAGGCTTATCTTTGTCTAAATTAATGCATGAATTTCTTTAGTTTTAGTATTTTCATTGTTCTATTTGCCAGTTGGAGTTATCTCTATTAGCCATATTGTTGGTTTGAATGTCAAAAATTCCTGGAGATTATTGTAGAACAAGTCAAAAGGACTGTTTGAAAATAATAATAATAATAAATTCCCACTACAGAAAAGGATACAAAAATTAATTTTCTTTTATCGCCTAATCAAATTTTGCACTATATTTTGGGGGAAACATGAAACTTCGTCGAGAATTTGAACATATATGGATTCATGGACACTTGTGAATTTTGTTGCGTGTGGTTAAATTGGCGTAGTAAGGACAGAAGTCATGGTTGCCAGCAGTTCCTGAGGGAACACAGTTGCACTTGGAACAGCAACTCTCACGGGCCCTTTTGCAGAGATTTGGCCTCTTTGATAGTCTGCATCTTCCTTGACAAGCTATTCCGCAATCTGAATACAGAATAATGCCATGAATGAATCAAGAAACATTAACAAATTTTACCATAAGACAATGCCAATTTAAGATTTAATAAGTTGATATGGTGGTACCAATGGTCTGTGCCTGAGGTGCAGGGCTTGCTGCACAACATAACAGATCATAGTAATTAGTTATCAAGAACATAGCTAGCTACTCATAGTAACTTTCACCGATTTTATTAGACTTTAGCTTACAAATTCTTCAGCTTGAGTGAGATGGAAAAGCAAAATAGAGAAAAGAACAAGTGAAGCAGCAATGATTGTGGAGAGGGCCATATTCTTTGTTTATAGCAAGAGAAAGATATTCAGACCAAGATTTCCCAAAGAGCAACAAAGATGTGAAGTAAGATATGAATCTGGTTTGAAAAAAAGGTGTATTTATGTGGTGGAGACAAGGAGCATCCCATCTGCAACATGCATTAAAAAAACTTATTTAGAATGTCTCCAGGAAAGCCATGGGTCAGACTGTAGCATCTTATAAAAGAATCCCATGTGAATTGGCAATTTGGAAGCTTAGGGCTTGTCCCAGTCCTGATGTGATCAAGATCAATAGTCAATTAATGCAAAAGGTATTTTATTTCACTTTGACACGCTTGAGCAGATAGTTAGATACCATTCAACATAAAATTTTAACGGCAGAGACAGAAATTTTCATATTTATTTTGATAAAATATTTTGCAATTCAGGTTTTGGGTAGAAAGCGTTGGTGTTGAAGGCCAGCAGGGTATTGAACATTAAATATATAGTTGGCATTGTTGTTTGACAGATAGTGCGCTCATTCTGAAGGGGGATTGCAATTGGAAATAGTTGAACCAAAAAGAACCAAATTGATCATGAGATTCGAAAATTTTTCATTTGCAGTTCCTCTTCGTGCTTATTAATGGCCCTGAGATCGAGCCAGCAATAAAACAATAATACCAAAAAAAAAAATCCAATTAAACAAAGGAAAAATATGGGTTACTAAAAGATGAACAAAAAAGTGTCAATAAAATCTTATTTTAGTGGTAAGAAGAAAATTTTGAAAATTTGAAATCGTAAGCTCAAATCTTATAATGAGTGAGTTTGATCTAGTTGAATTTATCTAATTATATGATCTAATTTCTTTTTTTTTTTTGTGCCACAATTTCTTAGTTGAATTTATCTAATTATATGATCAAACTTATAATTTATCATAAATGGTTTATGGATGTGTTTAATATGCCAGAGCTAGAGTTGGAAAGCAAGAGAAAGTTAATGATTTCTGTGGCCATGGCTTGGTGGTTAATTTGGAAAGATAGGCGTGCAGTGGTTTTTCAGAAGGAACCTGGTCCTAATTCCAGTATTAGAAAAATTAGTGGTGCAGTAACATGCTGCTCATTCACCATGTATCTCGGGGAATATATTCTAATCACTAATTTGCTGCTCATTCACCATGCATACCACATCCAGCCCATACCATGCATGTAGCACTAGCCAATCACACAATAACAAAGCATGCTCTATAGATTCATTCTCCTTCTTACATATATAAATATATATATTTTAATTTTTAATCTATTTTTAAACTTTCTTACCCTAATACTTATTTGATTGAAAAAAAATATTACGCGCATAAATTTTTTTAAATTTATAATATATAAATATATATTTTTTAATTTTTAATTTATTTTTAAATTTTCTTACCCTAATACTTATTTGACTGAAAAAAAAATATTACGCACACCTATAATTTTCAAATACAAACTCTAATGACAATGACGAGTCAATTAATCCAATAAATAGTTGACATATTTTTCTTACATATTGGACGGGAGATGACCTCAACTTCCTTTTCTACATATTCCAACTTGTAACAACATAATTTCCACAAACCCTCCATAAAACATTATTTACTTTAGATGACACATTTAACTTCCATACAGGATCCTCGATCACATGAGAAGATGAAGGATTTGGACCCCTACAGATCACTTCTTTGTCTTTCAAGGTGTGATATATTTCCAGCCTTGATTAGGACACTAATTAACAAAATCAAAATTACGATATATCCATGTATACATATATCAAAATTGTTATAATGATCAAACTAATTTTGTTTATGGATCAATTGAAAAACCTTGCTTTCTTAGGCATCCCTAGAATAATCTTGTATTAGTGGACAAATTGAATACTCATTTAGTCAAGAACAAGCCAGGATCTCAAAGACTCCAAGCCATAAAGAAACCTCCTGGGCCAATTAAAATATATTTTTTAATTTGTTCAATAATTAAAACGTTTAATAGTAGTTTATAAAAATAAAAGAATTGAATGCTGTGAAATAAATATTAATATTCTATGAAGCTAAGAAATTGTTAGGCACATGGAAGGTGTCATGGTCAGATCTTGATGTGCCTTGATCAGGTCATGACTAACACTGAGCTGTGTAATAGATGAGGTCTTGTACTTGGGACAGTGGTCTTAGAGCTTGCATTGGCAATGTAAGCTCGAGAACATGTTGCTGATAGTGTGTGCAGGCAGTGCAAGCCTTAAGCCTTAAGATGCTAGGCAAATACAAGCCAGTGAGTGGGCGCCCTAAAGTCGAGTAGCTAGTTGATTGCTATTGGTCGAAGCCGTGTGCGGGGACCCTCGAATGGGTTAGTGGAGCAACGAGTAGAATGCCAGAATTATGGTGACTAAGAGTAAGGTCACTAGGCCCTAAGTTGGCTGAAAAAAGGCCCTAAGATGGTTGGAGAGAAAAGTATCTTTATTTCAAACATTTTTATGGTTATTGGTGGGAAGGCTTACAAAGCGCTTACATTCTTTATAGGGGGATAACTGGTGTCAGCTTTCTACCACCCCTTTAGCTAGCGGACAGACGAGGGCTTGGCTAGTCTGAAGTGAGCTACTGCTAAGCACACATGGTATCTATGTAGATAGGCATAGTCAGGTCACAAGTGTGGCACGGTGTCTCCTCAGGTTATAGTAAATCTGAGGACGGTTAGGGCCAACGAGCCTTTTATTATGTCTTTGTGTTAAACCATAACGTTAAACGATAGTGTTTGCTATGCC